ACACTACAACACACACACACACACACACACACACACACACACGCACACACACACACACACGCATATATATATATATATATGTGTGTGTGCATTTATATAATAATGTATGTGTGTGTGTATGTATGTATGTATGTATATATATATGTGTATGTGCAATGTTTATGAATGATATATAAAGGCATATTGTTTGGTCTATTACTGTCAGTTATGATCAGAAATACGTACACAATGGCGTCTATATTATTTTTAGCACATTATAGTAGTTCTGACACGTTGTCCACACTCATAATGTGGATCCCTCTGTGCAGATCAACGACAAGAGGCAAAAGCTTGAACAAAATGCTGAGAAATCGGGTAAACCTTCCAATGTTGTTTTCATGGATCGCAACCCATATGTCTTCGGCGTAGTTCTAGATTATCTGAGGACTGGCAAGCTATTGATCCCACCGGTCGTTTCTAGTGAGCAGGTATGCTTAGTTTTGGGAGGGCGATACGGGAAGAAGAATGTGTTCATTAAGATCAACGTCCTCATCAATTCTATATATTCAACTTGTACGTTCGACATACCCATTGTATGGATACTTCATTTCCTATAAAGTACTTTGTAACAAACATAAAGGCGAGGCGATTGAATGCACGATCATGAATGGCGAGAGCATCAGGCGTCATCCTGATGTTTTAATCGATACGTATCGCTGAATTGTCGCTGTTGGTCTAAACATGGCAGGTGGAGTTGGAATTGAAGCACTGGAAACTGCACAACAATCTCGCCAACTCACTACCGACCGATGTGCTAGAACGCATCTTTTCATTCTTGCCGTACGAGCACCGGATACTAGAATTGACCAGGTGAGTGTAGTGATGAGACGGTGCACCAAGCAGTCGTGTGTAGTGATAGAAGGGTGCAACGACAGAGTTGGCATACTTTGGCGGGTCTCCATGGCATGTAAAAGTTCTCACTAGTGGTGTACAAGTCACACTTGTATATTGATCAAGCGGCTGTATCGATCAGTCGTGTTCAGGAATTAATTGACCAAGTTATCTGACTTGAAATGCGACTGAATGTTAGTGCACTGCATTAATTTGGTCATTCCTTGAACTTGCTTGATTCCTCACCACGCAGGGTTTGTAAGAAATGGCGCCGAATTGTGTTGCTAGAGAAACCGGAAGTTCTGGTAACGTACACTACTGGTAGCGACACAGACGAGAAGAAAGGCAAGGTATGGATCAGCGCAAGCTCCGTATATTTACGAACTGGAATTCACAAGTCCTTTATCGAGATCTATAAGGAGATACGCAAACTCGACTGAGAGAGATACGCAAACTCGACTGAGAGAGATACGCAAACTCGACTGAGATGATCATAGGAAACAAAACGACGGACATTACGCGATGGGCAACTGCTGTAGCTACATCAATAGCTTTATATTGCTGTGTTCTGATCAGCACCACATGGCTTGTTCTGTTAAGATGATAGATGCTTTCCACGATGACATCTTATCGTTAAGATGATAGATGCTTTCCACGATGACATCTTATCGTTAAGATGATAGATGCTTTCCACGATGACATCTTATCGTTAAGATGATAGATGCTGTCCACGATGACATCTTATCCCCCTTGAGCCCTGATCACCGGCTCAAATATCTGTCGTACGATCATGTGCAGGTGGGCGAGGAGAGCAATTCAAAGGCCGTGCTTGCGGTAACTTCTGGGTTGCCGCCGGCAAAAAAACCCAATCTACTCAATATCGACCCACCTCAGGTCGCAACCAAAGGCATCCGTGTGGCTGTCAATGGCAACGAAGACCAACTGATAGCCTTCTGCAGGACTGAGCACATGAGTGAGTGATGCATAGAACTGATGAAGATCGGTTCTGCCTTGTTTCTTGGGTTGTTTGTGCACTGATGCTGTACTATGACATGTTCTTCTGCGATTTGTCTGCAGGGGTACTTATCGAATGGAATATTTATATACGAGATACTAACAACATGTCACTGAAAAATATTCGTGTGTGGTATGTGCGAAGTATTCGCATATTCAAAATCATGTACGAGTGCTGGTCATGTGTATATGTTTTTAAGTGCTTTTGGATTTTTTGTTTCAGGATTGTCTTATGGCCTTCATACTCTCTTTAAAGTTTGATGCTTTACTTCTTCAAACTCTCAGTCACTTATTGGGCCAATGCGCAGCACACTAACCTATGTAATGTGGTGATACGATGTCTTTTGCACAGCATTTTGTGAGGATTCGTTCGTACGCAATATAAATAACTAGACGCTACTAGGCTTCGGGTGGTCGTAGTCAAATGGGCTGTGTACGGTTCCATGCGTTCCCCGATGCATCTCGCTCTTACCTTAAAATTCAAAACTACAACATGGTGAATGTTTATGCATAAGGTGTAATTGTACACTCATCTTGATACTTCATGTGACCTCTTCACCGCAACAGAAAAGGTGCTGGCGGCATTCTGGAAGTCCTTGGGCTTCACCTTTAATGCCCATATCACGGCAATGACAGGTAAATGTGGGGCAGTGTAGTCTAGATTAGTATCATGTGGCACTTGGTGATCCGTCTGGCGATGATGTGTTGCAGCTCTCAATCGTAAACCTGTTTGACACTGACCTGGGTGATCTGTAGAAATTAGCACTACGTGTAGGTGTTGTGCATTCTATTTGTATATGTGCAGGTGTGGAGCTATTCATCCGAGCTCAATTGTCTCCATGTACCTGTTTGTATGCACGTGGTGTATTGAAGTAGTAATAGTAGTATAAGTAAGGTAGATGGATACTAAATAGTGATCAAGCATGTGAGTGAGGTAGATGAACACTAAAGTGTGATCAATCATGCACCTGCTCATATGCACTAGTAGTATCAGTGAGGTAGATGAATACTTGAGTGGGATCAAGGGTTGTCCGCATCTCTGAATGTGGCGTCTAAGATTGTCGCTATCCGATCACCAAAGTGTGCTGCTGAACTTCTTATCGGACGAGCTAACCCTGTCCACATATAGCGCCTCTTCACTCTCCCCTAACCAAACACAACGGCTTTTCATCTTTACAGGCGCAACCCACCATCTCGTGAACGTCCATCTGCGCAATAGTGACAACGAGGAATCGTTTTTCAAACCCCTGGGCGAATTGCAGGGCCTGCAAGTGTTAAACCTATCTAACTGTCCCAATATCACACCGCGGTTTCTGAGTGCGCTGGCCAGTGCAGGCACCCTCCGCAGTCTGGATATCGAGGGCTGCCCTCATGTAAGTGTAGTTGCAGGTGTTGCTACAATGATCTGCGACTGGGTCATGGGTCTAAAGTACCGAGCGTCTGTGGCCTTCTGTATTTGGAATTGTGGTGACCTATTGCGATGGCATTTTACAACCTGTACAGTACACATCATTTCTCACCACGTTGTAGAAGAGTGTTCAAGAGTCGCTGTACTCGTCAAAACTCGTCCACTTCACCCTACCGCTCACGCACTAACTCATTTACTCACCCACTCTCTCAATTCCTCACACGCCTACTGCTTTGCCCCCACACTTGCTGACTAGTCACGGATTGAAGTTCGGTACATCCACTCACTTTCTCTGAATACCACTACTCCCACAGTTGAATGGAGACGCAGATGTTGTGGCGGAATTCGAGTACCTAGAACGGCTGCCTATGTTGGAGTCCTTCGCATGGCGAGATGGGCGCCAAGATTCTCAATCCACCAGTGCTTTCTTCCACGCGTTACGAACATGCGTTAGCCTGAAACGCCTCTATGTGGTATGTCAGTATTTCCATGCTTTACGAGCATTCATATACCCGATGTGCCCTTATATGGTTATTTGGAGCAATTGGTCGTGCGTCTTGTCGTATAATATCGTAGGCTCATATAATTGGGGCTTTCGCCGAGCACTTATACGTATATATGCAAATAGTGAACTTTAATTGGTATATAACTGTATATCCCCATGTATTGTGAAGTATAGAACCCGTATGTGTGTCGAGTTATACATGCGTTTGTCTTCATTGCTATGAAACTGTAAACACAGCTGCTTGGGCCTTTTGAGCAGAAAAATCAAACTCACGAAGCCTTGCACTTTGCACGAGACGCTCTGGGGATTTGTGTTCATGTCGTGACGCTATTGATCAACCCTACTCATTTCGTTTTAAATCGTCGAACTACTTGGTGCCACATGTATGTGGTGTCGAGCAGGGCTTATATATACCAATTCACTTTCGATTTCGTATTGATGCACTCTCTTCCTATGGTCTGTCATAAATAGGAAGCTCCCCTAAATCTGGATACAGAGGACAACTGCTTCGAGCTCATGTGTAAAAACTTGACCAATCTCGAGGTATGTTATGTGATGACGTGGCACGGTATTGTCTAGATCAGGTTCATTGGGTTTAATTCGTTTGGGTTTAATTCATGTATGGATCCAGGACGTAAACGTGTTTCTACACCTGCGTGCTAAAAGCCCATTGATTCGTTCCAAACTGCAATTAAATTTAGCCATACTCGGTTGTATGTGAAGTTAGTTATCTGTTGATGTATGAACGTACTGGAGTAGCGGGACCTGTCCTGTCACTTCCATCAGATGTGAGTTATAGCAACCTTGTCATCAGTTTTTGCGTGTAGGCCACTGACTGATGCCAAATAGATATGGCATAGAGCCTACACCATTACAGGGCGCAGCACGTGAGAATTTCATTATAAACTTCGTTAAAAGGGTGCAGCACGCTATAATTTCAATATAAACTTCGTTAGGTAGTGGAACTCTTCGCGTGCCTCTATCAACGTTCGATTCAGTTAATCGCTGTGCCTCGATTGTTCTTGGAGAATATCTTTCTTTATAAGGCATCTCTGCAGTCGCAGCGTATCTGGGCCATCTGTTACCATTCACCCATTGTCCGCGGCGCAATCCACACGCCCGTTCAACCACGCCACCGCACGCGATACATTATCCACAATCTGCTACTTACAATCGCAATAAACACCCCGGAAACAACTACCCCCGGCCCGTTGGCAGGATGTTGAGTTCGACACGGAGGAGTTCGATCCCGCAGTGGAAATTCTGGGTGCCTTGCAGCAACTTAAAAACCTCAAACGGTTGCAGTGCGACATCTTCATGGAGAACAACGCCACTCTGGAGAACGCCCTGCTCACGGCACTGTCAAATCTGCCGAAGCTGGAACGGTAAGTGCTAATTGCATGGGGTGGTGTAGTACAGTATACTCTACGTGTGATTGTACGGTAAGAATGGCTCTACTTGTGATGGCGAAGGGAAGTCAGCTCTTCATGGGAGTATTTAAACGTGACCAAAGTTACTTATCAATGCACATGGGAGTTTCGGGAGTAGGCGATTGTGCGACGGGAACTGTCTTTCGACCGCATCTGGGCCCCCTTTCCGGCTCGGCTGTGCTTGCAACTGTGACGAGACTGTACGAGTGCGGGTCCTTGTGACTTTGCGAATGTTCTTTATAGTTTCTTGTGCGTTGCTCCTATTTGCCTTCGAATAAACAGTCGGCTTGTACTTATATTAAGTAGCCTGTCGAAGTCTTCCTACTTCATGCACTAAACCGTATGCACATCCGACACCAATGCACACCGTAGGTTCGGCACAATCCACTGTGGCTCCAGGCGATTCTGGGACCACTTTCCCACTCTGCCTAATCTCAAATCAGTCTCCACTTACACTTACCAAGTATGTCGTTGCACTCTGCGATAAAAAGCGTGCAATGTTTCTGTAGGAACGTGTCTATTGCGTATGCCTGTACCGCGATTGTTGTCCATGTTCCGGTTCATGCGCCATCATCTGATTTGGGTATATTTAGGACTTGGTGTCTTTGTCTTACCCATCCGCGGTAAATTTGGTGTTTCGCATTGTATATTTTGGGATGCGCAAGCTACTTGCTTCCGTTTTTCAGTTCGATTTTTATTTATTTAATTTGGACTCCCATTGTAGCGTAACCTTCTTCATTCGGTAAAAGTAGGCTTACCGCATTGCAGATATGTACATATGTGATCAAGTGGTCTAGATTGTTTAGGGTATTCCCTTGTGAAACAAACATGCTATGATACAACACTGCTGCAAGCTGTTTCCAAAAATCAATTTTAGATCTCGACACACTTTTCACAGGTAATGCTCGTTGTATATTTTTCCACGGCACAATTCAGAATTTTCCAAGTCTTTAATTTCAATACACAAATTCAATACCACAATGACGTGTATTCTTATCCACCTTCTTTTCACGCCGCACAGCCTCGAAAGAACTTGTTACAAGCGATAGTGAATACAATCAGCTGTCGGCTCAAATCGCTGGAAGTCTTTCGGATCGTGCTAGAGAACTGCCACAAAGTGGAAGAGGAGGAACAGAAGATTTGTATGAAGTAGGTAGCTTGTGTTACATATTTTTTTTGTGTGTGTGTGTGTGTGTGTGTGTGTGTGTGTGTGTGTGTGTGTGTGTGTGTGTGTGTGTGTGTGTGTGTGTGTGTGTGTGTGTGTGTGTGTGTGTGTGTGTGTGTGTGTGTGTGTGTGTAGTACGTACGTACGTACGTA